TGCAAACACTTTGGAGATCAAGGATGTGCTACTTGTTGATGATATTATTGGATCAACTGATAGTTTGTTATGTGTAGAATTTGCTAAGATTATGCAGGGAGAGTTTGAAATGTCTATGATGGGAGAATTAACATTCTTCCTTGGACTTCAAATCAAGCAACTTAAAGGTGGCACTTTCATCTCTCAAACTAAATACTGCAAGGAGATTCTCAAAAAGTTTGGTATGGACACCTCAAAGGAAGCTAACACACCCATGGGAACTTCATGCTATCTAGACAAGGATGAATCAGGTTTGGAAGTTAATCAAACTATGTATAGAGGTATGATAGGATCACTATTATACTTAACTGCAAGTAGACCCGATATTATGCATTACGTACTGTGTGTGTGCTAGATTTCAGGCTTGTCCTAAAGAATCTCATCTAATTGCGGTAAAACATGTTTTAAAATACTTAAAAGGAACTACTTGGATTTGGCTTGTGGTATCCGGTCGATGCTTGTATTAGTTTATTAGGATATTCGATGCTTGATTATGGTGGATGTAAAATTGATAGGAAAAGCACTAGTGGGACATGTCATTTGTTAGGTTCATCCTTAATATCATGGCATTCTAAGAAACAAGCATGTGTAGCTTTATCTACCACTGAAGCTGAATATATTGCAGTTGGTAGTTGTTGTGCTCAAATTACGTGGATGAAACAACGAGTTAGAGGATTATAGTATATATTTAAATGACATACCCTTAATGTGTGATAATACGAGTGCAATTAATCTAACTAAGAATCCAGTAATGCACTCTAGGACTAAACATATTGAGATTAGACATCACTTTTTAAGAGATCATATCAAGAAAGGAAGCTGCAAAATAGAGTATGTAGACACTAAACGTCAATTAGCGAGATATATTTACTAAGCCTCTACCCAAAGATAGATTCTATGATCTTAGAAGAGACTTAGGGATATTAGAAATAGATTAAAATCTGCTTAATTTGATTTGTTTCGGATGATTGTTATGTTAAAATTCATGGTGGAGCATGTTCATAGGTTATTATGCATATAAATCTCAAAAACTTGATATAGCCTCCGGAATAATCGATTCTTGGAAGTAATAATCGATTATTTTCCCTCAACGTCCAAAACGAGGTATTCTCCTATGGAATAATCGATTATTTCGTGAAATAATCGATTAAATTCTCTCGATAATCGATTAATTGCTGGAAATAATCGATTAAAGGCATCCGATATAGAAATAATCGATTATCTTGAAATATAATCGATTAAATGCGACTCGATTTGCCTCCTAGCCGTTGCCAACGGATATTTTGCCATGGAATCTCTTCTATATGACCGTTGGAAGTGTTTACTCTATAAATAGAGACCTCTAGTTCAATTATACTCACTTCTAACTCTTGTAATCAAGTTTTCTTGCAATCTATACTCTCTTTGCTTCATTATTCCCTCACTTGTCTCCAAAATCTCTTCAAGTTTATCTATTCTTTCTAATGGCCTCATCATCCCGCCCTAAGATTCCTACAAGAAGAAGATCTGCACCTTCTTCTCTTTCCCGTCCTAATTCTGTTGAAGGATGGATTTCTGATACGGAAGGGCAACAAGAATTTCTGATGTACTGGAAGGAACGTGCCATCATTTCTCCTAAGTTTCTCATTGGTGAGCAATTTATACATAGAGGGTTTAATTTTCCAAATCTTCTTGAAATTCAAGGAGTTCTCCCATTTATCCAAATGCAAGGTACTTACTATCCTGACTTAGTTAGGGTATTCTTTTCTAGATTTAAGTTTAGGGATCAAATTGCTACATCCCGTGTAAAAGGGGTTACCATAATTCTAGATGATGATATTTGGGAAAATGTTGCTCACTTCCCCATTAGAGAAGATGTTATTAACGTTTATGGTGAGCTAGATGACTTTGACAGGTTTCTAGCTTATCGCTCTTTTCTACGGAATCCCTCAATGGAGATTGGACGTATCCTTCATGTTGGACCTTTAAAGAAGGAAGAACGCATGCTTCTACATTTACTCGTATGGATCTTATGTCCCCGGGCTACGAATCATGCCCAATGCTCATCCATTGATCTTCGAATTATTCATGCCATAATGAATAATGAACCTTTAGATTGGGGTGTTCTTGTCACAATGACCATGCTTAAAGCAAAACGTCATCACACTTTCAAAATTCCATATGCCCTTCTTGTATCCCGAATTCTTGAATATAAAGGAGTCAATGTCGAAGGTGAACAAGTTGTCCGAATTACTAACTTGAACCGCATGCTGGACAACACTTTGATTCATCTACAAATGGTGCGGGTCAATGACATCTATGTTCATAAAAATGACGTCCAAAATCAAGGTGATGCAATTGAAGACTCGGATGAAGATATGCCTCCAGCAGCTGAATTTCCCTCTACCCAAATCCAAAATATAGGAACATCCTCTTCTCATCAAGAATCAAGACAATCCATGGAAGATATGCTTTCCGACATGAATCAAAGAATGCAATCATTCTTCAATCTTTCTAGTGTACGGCATGATGAAATTATTCGTCGTATATCCGATGTAGATGATAGAGTGGGTAGATTAGAAAATAGATTTGATACTCACTTTAATGATGAGGATAGTGAAGAATTTTAGATTTTATTAATATCTTTATATTGTAATGAATGAATGATTATGAAATAAAATTTGATGTTTCTTTCATGCTATGATTGAGGGGGAGCTTTCTCTAACTTATGCATATTTTGAGGGGGAGCTCTTATGATTGATGTTGCAGAGTTCTTTTTGATTATAATCAAAATAGGGGAGAAAAATTTAAAGCCTATGATTCAATATTAATTTTATCTCGGTATGTTTAATGTGTTTGTTAGTATGACAGATAAAAATAGGTTATTACAAGGGCTTTAAAAAGATAATTTTGATCATCATCAAAAAGGGGGAGATTGTTGAACATTCAAGGACTTGATGTTGCAAATAATGATCATGAAGAATGTTGATTTTGATGATGATCCAAGAGCTTAAAGACTTAGAGTATTGAAGATTGAAGATTGATGATTTTCGTATTGTAATAACTCTGTTTTAGTTTGATTGAGTCTGTAATTATAGAATCTAAGATAGCCGGTACATAGTCCGTAACTTAGAAGCTTCAAAATGCTCAAATTTATCATGCGAGCTCGGCTTTAATCGATTATATAGGTAAATAATCGATTAAAACAGTGAGAAAACCACTTTCTATACAAAGTCACTGTTTTAATCGATTAAATAGCAAAATAATCGATTATTTTGTACTGTTCCGTACAGATAATCGATTATTTCACCAAATAATCGATTAATCTAGAGAGGTTTGGGTTCTGTTGTATTTGGCTTTGTTTTAATCGATTATCACTCCAAATAATCGATTATTTCAGTCTGTTTTTCATTTTAAATTTCAAATTAACCCTATTTTCGAAAACCCAATTACCAAGAACCCTAGTTTCGAAATCCCCAATTCCTAAACCCTAATTTCCCTACTTAAACTCTCCTTTGACACTCAGAAAAGTAGAACAACCTTTTCCATACAAAAGTTAAGTGCTGTGAGTGCCAGAGAACTGCTTTGTTGCAAGGAAAGGGGGCTTTCGAACCTGGTGTGGGCTAGAAGCGATAAGAATCACTAAGTGGAGTTCTTAGTGGATTGTGTGTTGTGCCGTCTCGCGGGAAAGTCTGTTCATCATCTCTTGTGGATTTCAAGAGAGGTGTATTCCGATCTTTATCTCGTTCATTTGTAATCTGTTTGTAACAATTTGTTCTTAGTGACGGCGTTAATCCTCTTTTGAGTGATTAGCAACTGGACGTAGGGTCTTTTGATCCGAACCAAGTATAAACCTACTTGTGTAATCTTCTCTACTCTTCTCTATTTACATTTACGGAGTTTTTAATCGGTAAAATTTGGGGAAAATTTTGAAAACCTAATTTTTATTAAGAAACCAATTCACTCCCTCTTGGTTTTTGTCCGACCACGCGAACATTCGACTGCGCGATTCTAACAGATCTACAACATTCATAAAAGTGAGTTCCTTGTTTTTCTATAATAAAGGTTTCATAACATATTCAAAATACGCAACGGAGTTATTCAAATGAAGAATTATGATACCATTTTAAAATGGTAGGTGGATACGCATGTAAGGACGCCACATGACACAATTATCCAAACAATTTTATAAAAAAACCAAAAAGAGAAACAAAGATGAAAATAGAGACAAACAAGAGAATCAAGAAAATATATATTAATCACATATTAAAATTATGACATAATGCATATTTATAGTGTTAAAAAAAGAATGTTTTTAATTTAAAAATTTGTTAAGAATATTTGAGACCTATTTGATAAAGGTTAAACTACCAATATTGAATGTGATATTAATATATGTCTCCAATAAACTTAAGAAAACTTGTGATATGCTAAAAAGAAAGAGTTTAAGTATTTCAAAAGATTATAGTGTTTGATTTTCCGCGACAGAAGTTGATTTATTCCAAAATAAAACTCTTTTTGATTGGTATATGACCAAATGGAATTCAATCACGTGAAAGAAGAGGAAACACAAATAAGACACATTGCACTAGGTATGGTTACACAAAGAAAGCAAGCTTTCCAATTTGGATAACTTCCTCTTCAAAAGGGCAAGCAAAGGTAGCTGCCATTAAATATAGAAGCCACGTGAGAACACAACCAGTCACCGTGACATTAATTGCTTTTCAACACCATACGCAACGGATTAGTGCTACATCACAACCCTATACCTAGGGCATCAATTTTTTTAGCACGTGTAACTCATTTCCCACGTGTCCATTCCTTCAAGTGTCCCTTATTGGATATTTTCTCCCCCTTCTCCTTCTTCTCTTCTTTACCCAACAATCTATATGTAAGGCCATTGAAATCTCTGTGAATGTCCCATGCACCCACAACCAAGTTCGTGTCTTCTTCTTTTTCTTCCCATAAAAACGTAGTTTCCCATGGTTTCTTACTCCTTCCATCGATTTTGATCCATTTCACACATTGTTTGATTGATTGATTGAAGTTTGTCATTGCAATGAAGAGAAACTGCTATTTGGATCTTCGTTTTCGTTCTTCATCTGCTTCATCGCCCCATGATTCAATGTAAGCAATTCCATAGTTTTGTTCTTAAAAAAATATTTTCAAGATTTTATCTTTAGTTTTATTAATTCTTTTTCCTTTTAGTCCTTTTATAAAAGTTGTCTTTCTACATTTTGATTTATGTCATTTCCATATCTTTTAAGTGACTACGTCAGATGTATGTATTTTCTTAAAACTACATCATTAATAAATGCCATGTCATTAATCAGTATAGATCAAAACAAAAACAAATAAAATAAAAAAAAAATTATATTTAATATATTTATTAAAATATTATAAAATTTTAATAAATTTGTTTTAAAAAAAATGTATTTGACAGAAGTATTATGTTTCACTATGTTTATTTTTTTGAGGAAACAAACGGAGTTTTGTTCTTGCACTTGTCGTTAGTATTTTTCCTTTTGTAAGAATTTTGTAGGAATGAGCTGTTGAACATGAACAAAAATGTTGTGGGCATTCCACATGGTGGCAGTGGTCGCCACATGCTTGACGTCATAGAACTTCAGGTAAATTTTATCTTTAAATAATTTCTTCATCCTTTTTCGGAAATACAACTTCGAGAAATTCTAAATTAGGATATAATAATTATGGTTCCTTGTTTATTACACACATACATAAAAACAATAAATAAACCCTTCTAGTCAAGTGTAATAGCTTGCCGTTAAAATTAATGTCCGTGCATTACCCTTACATAATATGCTAATTTTCTCTTCATACTAAATCATCAATGTACATCTTTTGTTTCATTTTCTCATGTCATATTTAAAAAAATAATTGCATTTATCAATCACTTTTAAAATTTAACATAACATTCCATAACTAAATTTTAATGTTTCTTCACATGTATTAATAATTATTATTATTATTATCATAGATTAATTTAAATATAAATATATTTTTAGTTCCTGTAAGATGAGTGAGCTTTGTCTTTATAATTTTTTTCTTTATGTTTGATCCTTCTAAATAATAATAAAAAAACACCACCTTTGATCTCTAGTATTATATATATATATATATATATATATATATATATATATATATATATATATATATATATATATATATTATCACTAATTAACTACTGAAAAAAAAAACAATAAAACGTTCATTGTAAGTGACAAATGCCAATATTGTAATATAATGAGATTTGAATAAATATTAGAGATTAAAAAATGATTTAAATATTTAGAGAGATAAAAATTTTACAAAAACTAAAACTAAAATTCACACTATTTATAAAGAACCAAAGCAGTTTTAAATTCTATAGGAACGAAAAACAAAGTTTTTTTTAATAACAAAAATCATATTCATTAATTTTACACGAATTAAATAGTCCATATTTAAAAATTTCAAATTTGTCAAACGATTTACTAAAGAAATATTACTCTTTCATTAAATGTTGTTTTATTGAGAACTTTATTTAGTTTTTATAAAAACTAAAATAATAAAATAAAATAAAATAATTATGATACGAAAAAAAAAATATCTTTATATTACTAAGAGTTAAAGTTTAACTCTTTTTTTTTTCAATTTTTCTTTTAGGTCAAGAGTACCTTTTTTTCTGAGTTAAAAGTACTATTTTTTTCCGTATATTTCGTTGGAAGAAGATTGCTTATCTTATGATTTAAATACCTTAGACCATTTTTTGACACATAATGTAAATTGATTTTATTTTAAAACCTTATAAATAACAATTTTATGAAAAATAAGATAAAACTTATTTTATTTTTACCACATTTAATAAATAATTAAGGGAGCATGTCATTTTAATATCTTTGGTTAAAAATGAATATGCTAGTAGTTTAACTCAGAGGATGGGATAGTTAAGAAAAGTTTTGTATATAAAAGGGGAATAATTGAAAACCATGTTGCGTAGTACTTTTTATTCGAAGAAAGGATTGAATTTAGCTAATTATATGCAGGCAAGGGTGATAATATGGTTGGCAAGCCAAAAAAGGGATGGTAGCACAGAAGCAGCTTCTGCCACGTCGCTTTCCTTGCAATCACAAGCGTTGCTAATGCATGCCCCCCAAGGTTTTTCAATTAAGACATCCCTGCGGAATTTCCTTCACAAGAGGAAGAAAAGGTCCCAAAAGTCACACCCCCATTAGCACCACCTCCTCATTTTTTTCACATCAATTTTTTTTTTCCGATTCATTTTAGTTACACTCTCTCAAAATAATAATACTAATAATAATTATTATTATAGATTATTCTCTTCTACTCTCTCCGTGGGTGTAAGAAAAGTGTTGAAGTAAAATTACAAGTAACGTGAACAAAATATCTTTCATCCATTTGCATCCTTTGCGAGACCAACATCTTAATTTAACTTTTCCACTGCCTAATGATGGGGTGCGTGCATTTATAAAAGGACCCTGACAGTCTTTTAATCAAGTGATTCGGAGTCTCTTTAATTATCAATGATGCTATTTTACGTTTAAACCAAGTGGGTGCATATTCTATATTCTATAATAGAGGTGTTTAATTTGGATCATTCACTTCCAAATACTGTTTTCATACACTGTTTTGAAAACCAAATAGAATAGTTGGTTCAATTAAGAATCCATTCGAAAATCGGTTAATTATTTATAAATAATTAAATTTTAATTAAATTAAGGGTATTGTAAAGCTGAGAACTGTGTTCTCACACGTTGCAGAAGACTGTTTCAGAGAACGTGTTCTCACATGTTGTAGAAGACTATTTCAGAGAACGTTACAGAAGATCGTTTCAGAGAACGTGCTCTCACACACGTTGCAGAAGACTGTTTCAGAGAACGTTACAGACCCACTACTAAGTCTTTCATAACTGTTACATACTTTCTCTTATAAATAAAGACCATTTCACACTCTTCAGAACACACCTCTCTCATCTTCTCTTCTCTGATATTCTTTCTGTGTTCCTTGGTTAATTTACTCTTTTGAGAGTTTCTTGCTAGTTTCTGAGATCCTCAGATATTCTGAGAAGTTCCTGTTGTATCCTGGGGGACTTGCGCAATACACCACGGATAAGTACTTAAGGACAGTGATTATACACGCCTCAGGAATAAAGTTTGGTCGTGTCTCTGTCAGTTTTTACAACAATCTTAAGGACTTATGACTGACAGTATGAATATCAACAACTTCCTTCAACAGTTTTAGAATATTGGATAGTGAATGAAAGGGAATTATGAAGTGCTCATAGATCAAGGTTAGTCTTCTGATTATGATTCGTGTATGTTATTATGTGAGAATCAATTCATGTATGTTATTATATGATTATATGCATGCTATTAGAATAAAGAATCTAAACGTGAAGAGTAGTTTTATAGAATTAGTAACGTATAAAAACTACAAATTAAAATACATGTGGTATCAGAGCGATACTTGTTAGATTTATGATTTTTCTCATATGATAATTTTTAAATTATGTTTTTCCTAAAATTGAATAAAGGAATAAATCCTAATCTATATTTTAAGCTGCAATCAATTTCAAATTGAAATTAATTTCATAGCCTTTGTGTGAATGACACTGTAATTCTTATTGAAATGTGAATGACCCTGTAATTGATTTTAATTGAAAAAGCAAATTACTTGATTGGGTTAAAGGTGAATCATATATGAAATTGATTACTGCATGTTATAATTATGATGAAAGAAAGATAAACGTTTAGATGAAATGCTATCAGCATACATCATGCAGCCTGTCCATAGAGCACACGTGTCAAACACAGGTTCCTTTTTCGAATTTATTACACCAATGAAACAGAAAAAATGAATTATGCTTCATGAGTATATTAATTATGCATGAGTATTATAAGTTGTGAGAAATTTCTTTTCGTAGTGAACAATTAACAGTTACGTGTGCATGACTTAGATCTACATATTATTTCGTACATACATGTAAGATATTATTTTTGTCTGCATATTATTTTGTACATACGTATAAGTAGAATATTATTTTGTCCACATATTATGTTTTACATACGTATAAATAGAACATTATTTTGTCCCCATATTATTTTGTACATACGTATAAGAAAGGGTTGAGACGGTATGAAATAGTGGATCTAACCCCACTTTACGTTCAATAAGGAAAATTACTTTTTGTGGAAAGTAAGATCATCATACACTCAGTGTAGACGTGGAACGAGAAACGACAATCCTCCTAAGGCAAATTTAGCCAAAGGAGAAGATACAATTATTGTGGTCGTTTCCCAAATAAACCTTGTGACAAATGTGAGCAAATGAGTGATAGACTCTGGTGCTACCAGGAACATCTGTACAAACAGAAGTGCTTTTACCTCCTACACTAGTGTGGGGATGGAGAAGAACATATTTATCTCGGTGATTCCAGGACAACTCCTATCTTAGGAAAAGGAAGAGTTCTTCTGAAACTCACATCTAAAAAGACTCTGACCTTGAATGATGTGCTACATGTGCCATTAATCAGAGCTAATTTAATATTTGTAGCACTGTTAGGAAAAGTTGGGGTTAAAGTGTCATTTGAATCTAATAAGATTGTTATGACAAAAAAAATAATGTGTTTGTAGGGAAGGAATATTGTGATCAATGTTTTTTTTTTATACTTAAAATCTCTGAAGTTGTTAATAAATTTTGTTTTTCTGCTTATATTATTGATTCATATGATTTGTGACATTTATAGATGACTACTCTGCATACACCAAAGTATACTTAATCAAAGAACTCTAGTGCACCAAATAACCTTTGAGAGAAGATATACTTACAGTGTGTTTTTTAAAACTGGTAAAACTCTCTACGAGTTATGGAGAGGTTATAAACCTAATCTTAAATATTTAAGAGTGTGGGGGTACCTAGCTAAGGTAATGTTATCCAATCATAAGAAAAGTAAAATAGGTTCTAAAACTTCTGATTGTATGTTCTTAGGCTATGCAGAACATAGTGTTGTCTATAGGTTTCTTATCCTCAAAAGTGATATAATTAAGCATAATACTATAGTGGAGACAAAAAATATTGAGTTCTTTAAACATATCTTTTCTCTAAAGGTTAATGAGATACCTAAACAATCTATAGATATTAATAGTGATAAAATATATGAGGATTTGAGGAGAAGTAAATGACAGGGGAAGGAAACCTCCTTTGGAGATGATTTCTACACTTATCTAGTTGAAAATGATTCAATGAGTTTTTTAGAGGCTATTAGGGCTCCTATGCAATACATTGGGATAAGGTCATTAAGACTGAAATTGATTCAATTAAGAAATACTTGGACTTTGGTAGATTTTCCTAAAGTAACAAAACCTATTGGTTGTAAGTGGATCTTTAAAAAAAGTATCATTCTGATTAATCCATAGATAAATATAGGGCAACATTAGTAGCAAAGGGTTTTACTCAAAAATCCAACATTGATTATTTTGACACCTTTGCCCCTGTGACTAGGATTTCCTCTATTCGAGTTTTGTTAGCTCTAGCAGCTATCCATAAACTAGTTATACACCAAATGGATGTTAAGACAACCTTTTTGAACGGTGAATTAGAGGAGGAAATTTATATGACTCAACCTGAAGCGTGTGTTGTTCCAGGTCAAGAGAACAAATTGTGCAGACTTTCAAAATCCTTATATGGATTAAAACAAGCACCAAAACAATGGCATGAAAAACTTGATAGTGTTCTACTTTGTAATGGTTTTTCAACTAATGATGCTGATAAATGTGTGTACTCTAAATTTGAGAGTGGTGAATGTGGCATTATATGTTTATATGTAGATGATATGCTAATATTTGGTACATGCATTGACATTGTCTCCAGAACTAAGTTGTTTATGGGATTTAAATTTGAAATGAAAGATATGGGTGAAGCCAATGTGATTTTGGGAGTTAAAATCATAAGGAAGGGTGATAGTATTTTTCTATCCCAAGAACAATATATTGATAAACTTCTTAGTAAGTTTGGGTGTTATAACACTAAACCAATGAATACCCCTTATGATGTTAACTCTAAGTTAAAGAAAAATAGAGGAGACTCAATCTCTCAACCTCAGTATGCCCAGGTAATTGGGAGCTTACTGCATTTAATGAGCTTTTCTAAACCTGACATTGCTTATGCAGTAGGTAGACTGAGTAGGTACACTCAATGTCCTAATCAAGAACATTGGAATGCACTTACAAGACTTATGAGATACTTAAGAGGTTCAATGGATTATGTCATTGAATATAGTGGATTTCCCGCTGTACTAGAAGGGTACAGTGATGCTAACTGGATCTCTGATTCAGATGAGACAAAATCCACTAGTGACTATGTATTCACACTCGGGGGTGGTGCGATTACATGAAAATCAGCCAGGTAAACAATTATTTACACACAAGAAATACAAAGAGAATTAAAAAATATATAATAATGATTTAAAAATTGTTGTTGTATATATGATTTTGATGCTTCATTATATGTTATCAATATAATTATAATTATATTTTTCTAACCATCATTGCATGTTAAAGATGTTAGACAAATGGCATCTAGAGGGGGGGGGGGTGAATAGATGCACAAATTAAAATAGATGTCAAATTAAAAATTTATTTATGAGTCAATAATTTGTTAAAGCGGAAGAAATAATATAATCAGGAAAAGAGAAAGAGATAAGGGAAAGAGAAGAGCACACAGAGATTTATACTGGTTCGGGTATAGCCAACCCTACATCCAGTTCCCAGTCAACTCTTAACACAAGAGTGACTCCCCATTCACTATCTTTCAAATTCAGTTTACAAATTACAATCAACTCAGCAAAAGAACCAGTAAAAAGTAAACTAATTAAAAAGACAATCACCTCCTTAGAAATCCACTAAGGATGAACAACTCCCTAGAATCCCACTAGGGATGAACACCTCCTCTGAACAAATCAAAGGATGAAAAACACCTCCTTAGAATCCTACTAAGGATGAACACCTCCCTAGAATCACACTAGGGATGAAGGTAATAAAAATAAGAACAGACACACTTGGGTAATGGAGACAACAAATTGTATAAGCCTGTAGAATGTCAATCTCCAAGAACAAGTGTGATTAACAATGAAAGCACAGAAGGCAGTAGAGAAGAGAGTTTTCTCAAAATGTGTAAAATATCTCTGTTGCCTTGTTCAGAATTCTTTTCTCAAAAC